GACACACGTAACACCGTGTTTCGTAAGAAACACAAATTTGCACGAACAAATGCGACGAGGCATAATAATTATATTCCGCAACGATGTTACTACATCGTTGAATACAGTCCACGGTTTATTCGCAAGCTCTCACAGAAGCTCTCCTTCAAAAGAGTTGGATTCATCTGCTTTACATTGATGCGGACCGCTGGCTGCAGTTTAGCGTAATTACGGTAGCGAACTTCGCGAAACACATTCGAGAGAAAGTATTTCTAGAATTTCCGCGAGCGTGTTAAGAATCGGTTAACGTCGCGGAAAACCGGGAAACGCGAGAAACGGCGTTGAGATACACTCTGAGGTATAAGGTTCATTGACGTGCGCGCGTTACATAATGGAAGCCTTGAATTTTGCGCGAGCTGGTAAATGTCAAAGGGGTTGGGCCTGTGCGTTATAGAGCATTTATCGTATTCCCGGCGTTACCATAGAATCGGCCGCGCGTTTCTAACGGGGACCATTTACAAACCGTATGCATGCTTCTATCACACATGCCGTGTACTCGCGTTATCTACCTCATCGAAATTTAGCTTAAACCGTAATTACATACGCGTTCTATTTGTACGATAATTAACATTAATTTTGTTATACAGGCCTGTCTGAAACAGAAATAATGGAAGTTAATGAAGGCGTATTAAAGTTATCTTGCATTTATCGTCATTTCTTTTTCTATTATTATTTCTGACTTTTACTATACATGTATATGATTTGCGGTGAAAAACCTGACTGATTTTATCAGCGCCGTACTTCGTACAATGTACGAACTGCAACGGTGAAATAAATTAGCCGAATGTAATTGGAAATATTTTTCGTATATGCAAGGGTCGGGACGGCATTGTGTGCGAGTTATTGATAAAATTTTTTAGGAAGTCTTATGAATACTATTATTTTATGAACTTCCTTCGTTATAACGATGGCTACAGTAATTTGAATGTTTGTTCATAGTTCTAGATACGGTTTTGTAGAGAAGGTCGATACAAAAACGAGAAAATATTACATAAGCTTCCTTTTACGGATAATTTAATATTTTATTTAAATATTTTGTGTTTACTTATCCATGATTAACTTTTTCTATACATCTGTCTCGCGTGCATCTTACGTCGATGTAATCAGTGCAAAACAAATCAGTGTCAATTTTGCTAACATGATTCTCCAAAAGAGAAAGCTACGGAGTTAACATCGTTCTTGTTGACAAATTACTCGCAATAACTCTATTCCACTGCGCTAACGGCAGCTGAAAAATTGATTCACTCCGACATCGAGACGTCGATTGATGCCGCCGTATCAAGGATTCGATGCGCGGATCGTGCATGTGCACTTGCAAGTGCCTAACCCGAAGAAGTGCCATGTCAAATTAACCCGCGATGAATTATCAGTCGGCGAATATCGCCGCGCATATAATTATTGCCTCATCACCGGACGGACGCCGCGCATTACCGGTTGCAAACGGTAGAAATTTATTTACGTTGTATTGGAACACACGGGGAACGTCGGCCGTCAGTAATAAACGGCTGCCACGACCGCGTGCATTTTCTCGTGGCAATAACAATAATTGAAAATCGTCCCCGCGTACCGCGGCTCGCGCGCTTGGCATTGGAAAGGGCGCCCGCGATCGTGTGCCGATCACGATTCCGACTGGGGATCGCTATCGACCGTCGCGATCTTCTTACCAATTAGTTCCTTGCCATAACCGATAATTACGCGCTGCCTGCGACCCTTAGCGATCAGATCCACGTTGCCACACTAGGGAGATATTCTCAATTTTTTGCAACGATATGATCGATCGTTTTTTCGATCGCCGACGAAGGTTAGCGCAGCGCGTCCCGCCGCTGTAACTCGCGAATCGTGACGTATCGAGTCTTCGTTTGCCGAGATCAGTAACGTGTAGAACACGGAACTCTCAATGTGACGTAACGATGCATATGTCGCTTTTATATCTCTTATGTAATAAACTCTAGCAATACGAGAGAATTTTTTAGTGAAGTATACTTAAAAATATGATAATTTATTGTAATATTTCCTGGACGAAAACAAACGCCTTTTATCTTTACTAAAAGTATTCGTGACAAGATTAATTGATTGATTTACTGATGAAGAGGATCAGTTTTATATTTCTTGAAAATTAATTTCTTTGTCCGTATACAATCGAAGGATGAATGCGGATCTTTAACCATCGCTACCTATCTTCGGCGAGAGCAATCAGAAGAATTCCTTTGTGCAACATGGACTGAAATGTTATTTCGTTTCGGATTGATAATAATTACGATTATCTTCTCTCGCGGTGCATGACAGATTATAAGGCCAATCTTTTTTCAGATCGCTATATTTTTATTTAAGCTCGGAGAAATGTTCGTAAATAATCGAAATTCTCAAATAATAGAAATTACTACTCTTGATTTTTCGCAGAATTATACAGACGCGCGTGACCTTAACAGTCACTCTCTCGGTGTATCTGTGATTGATCTACGTTTCTCGTGAGAGAAAAAAATTAAAGAAGCAGACGTCCTTAAGATTCATTCAGCGCTCTACCCTTTCTCCGCGAGAAGGGAACGGTCGGTCGAAAAATTAATATAGCTGCATACGTCGCTGTATTCCGATCATGGCGCATTCAATCCTGTTGGGAATGTTTAACAGCAGATACAATACATTACATGTATATCACAATTGCATGCATCGACATTTAAGTTGATATGGACATTTATTACCCGATGAACAAACAAGTAAATATTGCTTGACGAGAATTACAACTCAACGTTCCGTGAGCGATGTAATTTTGTCTTGATTAATACGTTAATCAATTAAGCGGTTAATTAAACCTGGTATACTGTATATATCTCTAATATTATCGAAAGCTGATTAATGGCGTACGTGATATTGTGATACTTGCATGAACTTGATACTCGCATTTCAGTTTAATCAGGATTATTGTGTAGTGTATATTCCATTGAGATTATTACGTCAGGCACGGATAAGATATTTTATATGAAATTTCAAAAATTTCCGCGAGAAAATGTAAAAATCTAAATGTCGTTCAGAAAAAATTGTCTCCAATATACTAATATCTACGTAGTTATCGAGTATGCTTCTTTTCTGACATGCAAATCTTACGAAAAAACAGTATGTGTACTTATTTCTCGGCGATATTATACGAAACAGGAACAAAAATAACTCGTTAAGCCACGAGGCGTCCTTGATGCGCCTCCGATGCACCTGCGGGAGTTGCACGGCTAGAGGGTCGATGCGAACAGGTGCAAACGACCTTCGCGATCGTTTAACCTCCCCGATCCTCCCCCTGCGGAATTTTCAAGTGTTTTGACCGCGGCGCCCGGTGCAGGTGCAGTGTCATTCCGGGCGGAAAGATATCAGGCTAACGGCACCGCGGACACGCATAACCGTATAATCGAGATTTCATGGCTGATTCGTGCTCATTAGCGGCGCTCTACCGATGCTGATTAAACGGCAATTGCGGCCGACCGATCGAAAATCGTCGCGAAATTCATATTATGCATATACTATTCCCGTACGTGGAAAGCCAATATTGATCTTCCGTATACGATTTATAAATAACTTGAATTTTGTAATCTCTTATAAATGGCGTCCAATAATTTCGGGGAATATTTCTCGCCGCCTTTAATTTTACGTATTTTCTTTCAAAAGTTACTCAAAGTAAAAGATCGAAATTTTAGCAATCCGTACTTTTCAACGCGGATTTATAGCGAACTAAAATTATCTGAACGGTGCGATCTTTTTTTTCGATCGGAGAATGACCTCATTTACCTTTTTTTTTCCCAACATCGCTTTAATGTCTTGTAATAGCCTCGGAAAATTGCCATATCTACGTCCCAGATCAATTGCATTCCCGTGAAAAGCGTTGACGCGAAAAAACGTGCATGGAGGCAACAAAAAAATGTGCGGTATTAAGTGTCGGTGGAATCATAATAGCGATGACACGATTGCAACCGATAAAAACAAGCGAGGAGATAAAGAAAGAGGGGAATCCGCGAAAGAAGGCCGCCTCTCACCTGCGTGCGCGTTTGATGAAAAACGTCAGATGTACCGAGCTTTCCGCTGGAAGTCTCGCGCAAGAGTGACTAGAGCGAAATTTTTAATCTTTGTTGGTGAAAGATGTTGATAATTTCTGAACTGGCATTCAGACACTGTTAAATTGACACCTGCTACTATCTGTACGCGGTTTTATTGTCTCTCGACTTGGCAGATCGTCTCTTTTAATGTCTTGGCAGAGACAGAGTCATTTAATTATCCCGTCGCTTATATAGGTGGTAGAGCGTTTAAACTTGGAGATCAAATTGAATGCCTTTTGAATGATACATTGAACGATACCTTTTACCGCGATGTTTACTAATGTCAGGCACGATTCACGTTTTCCTATAAATCGCGAGCATTGTTCCGCGCCGCGGATCTGACTCGATATCTATACTCGATTGTGTAATCGCAGTAAATAGTAAATGGCGTGGGATATATCTTATTGATATCACCTGCATGCTGTGCGAATGTAATCCGATGCGAATGTAATGCTTCTATCTAAACTTGACTGGATGACGATATTTTCTATCTTTTTGGTGTTCATATAAAAATATTAGAAAATCGTTCAAGTCGCCAAATTCGGAGAAAGCTGTAACAATATCGGCATGCATAGGCGATTATATTTCGTTTATCATTTATTTAAAAAAATAATTACTGTTAATAATTACCATATTAGGTATAAATATTTATTATTCTTCAAGACCGCGACAAGTTCATCACGCGTATAGCTTTAATATTTTCAAGACTGGTTGGAAAAGGCCGCCGCCGACATTTTCGCGTGCCGACACCCCTCTCACGACGAGCTTTCTTTGAGACAGCCCTGAGGCACGTAAATTGCGCGCGCAGCCCAGTTTGAAATTCGTGGCGCGCCGCGGAGATCCTTGGGGGCTGCGTTCCTCTCTCGCCTTTCGTTCCACGTCCGTTCGTTCGTTGGGTTCGTTCGCTCTCGCACCGTTCGGCTCCGGTCGTGGAAGTCGATGCTAAGGTCGGAGTGCTGTCGCGCGAGAAGGGAGTGCCGGGCGCCTGTCTCGCCGCCCTCCCGGTCCTCCCAGTGATCCCGAATTTCCTCGCGAGCACACGCGCTTGCCGCTCGAGGATGACGCTCCCGAGTCCAGTCTCGCCCATCTGGTACGCCCGACATTATTCGCGAACGAACACGTTGGATCCTTGATCGAATCCACGATTTGAAAAAAAAAAGAGGAAACAATAAATCGAGAGCCTCGTCCACGGAAAATTCGTACCGCATCGTTGTCGCGGATGTTTATGTGTCGCGACGAAGTGCGTCGTCTCTCAGTGGCAATACACGAAGCTTCTATCGATTGCCAAGTGGATTTAAACCGCTGCGTGTGTAATTGCTAATAGGAGCCTCCTTCATTACTCTTTCGTCTAATTGCACGGTATATTTCGTTGTGAGCGAAAAGAATCTTTTTCTGTTTATGGCAACGGACAGTCGCCTTCTCGATTGATCGGAGATTGTCGCGTAAAACCAGCTCACACCTCGAAAGATCCTCGGTGCGAGAAACGAGAGGGATATCCTTGACATTATGGCAAGACGCACAAGGAGCCGGTAGTTCGGTGGTTGGCAGGGATGTCCTCGTGACATGTTACCCCGTGACCTTGGCTGGCGCAACTACAACGTCCTCCGTGGAGAGGGTCGTCTTCTGGTGCGCGGGTCGAGCGGTAATACGAACGGGCGATCGGTGTCCTTTAATCCGCGCGAGATCGAGTATCGCCTGCTGCCGCTGGTGCATGTCAAGCCTGACTTCGTGATTCCATATGTGCTCTGCTGGAGGGTGCCAGGCGCGATCCACCGCATCCAGATTAATCCGTCGGTCGTCCATCATCATCACCAGCAGCAGCAGCAGCAGCAGCAACATCAACGTCAACAACCGCAACATCACTACCAACAGCACCGTCAGCGTCGACGACACTTCGAAGGAGCGCCGCGGACACGTCCTGCGCCACCGCCTTCGACGGAACATCGTTTTGCGTACGGCGCGCAGCGTGACATCCTTGCTGATTCTGGTATGGAAACAAGGTGAGTGCCGCTTCGGAGGCATTGAGGAATCGGGATTCTGAGGTCTGCGGCTTTCATGACTCGGGCGTGTCGCCTGTTTGGATCTCCCGCGGCTTCGACGTTGCAGAGAGAGAGAGAGAGAGATTTTCATTTCTTTAATTACCTCGTACTTCAAAGTCGGATCGTTCCGGCGTATTATGTAATTAAAGGATTAATGTTTTGCATTTTAAAAATAAATTAAATCTGAAAGGAGTGAATACTAGTTTTACGAAATTTATTTAACGAATGTGAGCTCGTTTTTTTATTATCATGAAATAGAATATGAAATAAAATGTCATTTACATATCACAAAAAGTTAGTCGCGTAATATTGATTTTTTTATTATATTTTAATTTGATATTTATACAATGATGATATAGAACTTCTTCTACAATTTAACATCATAGAACGTTTACTCCATTTTATAATCAAGATTTATCCATAACTAAACACGCACATGCGCGTCACTGGTAAATGGTGGTAATTTTTATTGATAACGCGATATATTAATGATGATACAGCTTTTAAGAATTTTTATTGAGGCTAAACAATTTTGTAATGAAAATACATTTACAGATAAACATACATCAGTATCGTGTAAATAAACTTTGCCGCCATCATAATGTGGCTATATAGCCTTTTTGGATACGCGATGTGTCAGTTCATTGCCCCTCTCCGTATCTTTGTAGCACACCCTCGGCCATATACCTACGACAGCGAAATAGAAACATTTCGTCGTCACTTCGACGGCGGTAAGCTGACACTGTGCCAGGTGTTCCTACAATAGCAAAGTCTATTTCGCATATCGCGCAGTCAACATTGCACGCGCAGCACGCTTATCGAATGTTCATTGTGCAATTATATCGCGTTATCGATAGCGACAACTGATGGCATTGGAATCTACATAATTAGGAAACAGTTTTTGAATTTTTTTTGCGATGAATTAAATTGCACGAGTGAGACAATTGAAGGAGTTCCCTCCTCCGCAATTCTTTCGAAAGAAAAGATTTAAGAAATACGCATGATGTGGTGCGCGCGATGTTAATGTAACAGCGCACCGCAATGATCTCATGCCGAGATATTCTTCTCTTTATACCTTCCAAAAGAAAAGAAAAAATGGGTAAACGCCCGTCTACTGTCGCGAGCAGCCTTCTTTCGAGTTTACCTCCCGCTGTCGCTGACAAGCCTTAACCAACACGTTTTCCTACGAAAATCTGAGACTGTTATACCGCGATGCAAATAAGAGCGTATATAGCTTTATAACGTGTAACATCACATTATGGAAACACGAAAGAGGAGGAATATATAGAACCTGTACTATAACACTTTGACACATCGTATATCTCTAATATATTTTAATTGTCCATACGGCGATGGTTCTCTCATAAGTTTCACGTCGCGTCGAAACAAAAGACCCGAATTCCATTCAACGGAGGAAATCGAGAGACATAAAATTTTTACATTCGATATTAACTCTGTCACGCCATACGTCGAGTAGTCGATTCCCGCAAGTGCACAGGGACATTTGTCACGATGCAAATGTATCTCATTGGCCGGGGACATGTAACGCGAGATTGCCCGTCAAATCCCAAAAGCATTGCGTATCTTCGGTTCGCCGCGGGGCTCTTTTATAAGTCCGGAATAAAAAGGTCGACGGACGATCGCTCGTAAAAACCACGCTCGGGCGCGGAAAAAAAATTGTTAAAAGCGGAGGACTTTGTGCTGACCGTTCACGACAAGCCATTTCCGGTAGCTGCCCCGACGACTTCCCATTGCGTAAATATAGCTTTGCAAAGCTCGAATATCATCACAATGTTCTTTAAACTTTTACATCTTCACAATAGGTGCGCGAAAACAGTTGTCGATCAATCGCGTCGACTATTTTTCGACGACGTACGTAGCTAGGTTGTTAAGATTTCGCGAAACTCGAAAGTCAGATCGCTTTACGTAAGGACTACGTTTTACACATCGTGAGATCATTTTCACGGTTCGTAACATTATTACCGTTCATAGTTCTTCGATTCGCTACTATGGAGTATAATGCGAAGAAATATTTATCGGCTATGTATATTTTTCTAGCGTCTGTTCGTACATATACTAGGCCATAGATTCGCTCCCAAGTGACACAAATTGTCCACATCGACGTCATAAAAAATGCAATGAGCAAACGTCGCACACCGCAATGGTCGACGAAAGAGTTGTTATCCATTCATAAAAAGTTAACGTATTGTTACTCTACAATACCGAATAAGCTGTATCATGTTATGCGATATATGAACGGTTTTTTCTGATTTTATTTAATATCTTATATAAGAAAATGAACAAAAAGAAATATAAATTTACTTTTTTTTTCGGAATTTTCAAGAAAATTAAATATGCAGAATTTAGATATTTTAATGAAATATTTTAATGAAAAATATACTATATTTTTTTGTAATGTAATATCTCTAAAGGTGAGCAAGAATTTATTGCATCTTAATTTTATTACAAAAAAAAGTATGTAAAATTTAAAGTGGACAGTTTGTATTGTATTTGTCTATGTTAAGTATTTGCCTGATATTTTGAATTTTTAAGATCTTGTTCGCTTTTATAATTTAAATCTTTTGCTTACAAGAATAGAGCTTTATTATCACGCATTACTGCCATTGTAAAGTCGCGAACTGCTTCAGAAAATTATGTGCAGTCGTAGAATGAACCAGACACATACGAATAGTGATTTATTTAGAATGTAGGATATACTCACACAAGGTTTATAACAACGACGTTCACAGTGTAATAAGAAGAATAATGTAAAAACAGGATTGTAGAAAGTTAACGTGGATGAGCAAAGAAGATATAATATAACTAACACTAATATAAAAATAATTAATCGATGTCATAACTTTTGTGTAAATTATGAAGATACGTACGATGCGTTAAGAATACAAATTTGTACAAATAAATGTCACATGTACTTTAAAGTTTTTATCTAACACTGTACGCTAATACTAGAGGCTTTATAAAATTTGTAAAAAAGCTGTTTTTTTTTTTTTTACAAAAATATATAAAGAGTAGTGATTGCAAATTTAAATTTCTTGCAAGAATACATTTAATCACTTGTATATCAAGGGAAAAGTTTTATCTCTCAACATTTATCGAATGTCAAAAATGAGTAAACGTTTACAAATCCAATAAATTACTTTGAATGTTTCGAAATATGCAATAACGATACATCTTACCGCCGCGTATGGATTTCCCACGACATTGAAGTCGAAATGGCAAAGATTCCAATTTTTATTTAATTCTTCACGGATGTCTTCACGCATAAAAAAAAGATTGATACTACCATCGTAATTGAAACTGCAAAGTTCACGCAAATAACGGTCGATTTTCCGACGTGGCCTATAGTATGTGGTCGTTATCGCTTAAAGTGATTCACGTTTTATCTAGATAAACGGAGGAGAGATAGAGAAAAGAAGGGGAGAGAGAGAGAGAGAGGGGGGGGAAGAAGTAGTAACGCAGTAAATTCGGTACATAAAGAGGGCATTCTATAATTCTGTATCTCTTTTTTAGCAAAATGGATTTTTTACCTTCGCCGTTTTAACCGGAAGATATCTTAACCATGAAGAGAAAATGGTTATTGCATCAGGAAACTATTCCGTCTACAATAATCAATAGCAAACCGGTATCGGTTCTTTTTCTTGCAAAATATGTATCGTTTGTATATGATAAAATGCGCTTACCTAATAACGTCATTATATTTTAATAATGAACTATATAGTTTAGAGCGTATTATCAGTTCATGGAGGTGATGAACAGCATAAGTCGATGAGAGAAGTAGGAAGAAGAGAGAAATTGTTGCGATAGAAGCGAACTTTCTCGATCAGCTGACAATGAGATTGTTGCGCAATAATTAATATTTGCTGTTGGGAATTTCAACTGAATTACCGCAACCTTTCGAGCAAATACATTGCGATTATGCGTTATTATTTTGCAATTAGAAATTTATCAGAGGCGCCATCATAAAATGAACATTCTTATATATATGAGCCTAGGCAGTTTTGAAAAGTCAAGGAGTCTTTATTACGGAACGATTTCCTCTTTTTTTCACACTCGTTGGCGCGACGTGTGATTTATCAAGTCTCTTTCGGCGCGACCACAATTCGCATTCTGTTAAGATATATTACGCGAAATCTTCTTCGACAAATGAGCTAACATTCGTAGGAACGAGAAGATCGACCCTATGTTATTAGACGTCACGAATCATCGGAGTTCGCGGAAGGGTGAGATCTCTTCGTCACGCGTCCGGAAAATCCTGACGAACGATCGCAGGGACAAAGAGAACTTGCAAAAGTTTCTAAAGACGGTTTGTCTAAAGCAAAAGAAAAAGTGACGCGCTGTTATACTCCCAACATCCCGAGATCTCTCTTTCTCCCGCTCGACACGCTCGGCGATAAAAACCCCTCGGATTCCCCGGGACTTTCCTGGGTTACACGAGCCATCAGAAACTATCCCGTAAAAGGGAATAACGGACAAGTATGAAGAAAAAGGGAGCGAGGAGGAGAGCCCCGTCTACGTCGTGCGTCGTGACGTTAGATTTAATTCAAGCGTCGGTCCGAATCTTCAGCGTCTTCGCGATGCTGCATTGGCCACATTCTCTCGCCGACTTCTTCCGAGAGAGTTGATACCAATGGCGGCAACGTGCGACGAATCTAAGGAACGGAAAGAAGCTCGTATCGTGCCTGAGTCTGTCTCCATTAAGAATATAAAATGCTCGCCACGCCGACTATACCTACAGCTTTTGCTACTCAACGAGAACGAATTGAATATGTACGTGAAATTGCCATCTCTTCAATCCCTTTATTATCATATTGTTTCTATAGCAATGATTATTCCTAAGATTTATATTAATTTTATACATTGAGCTCTCTCATTATTGATGAAATTTTATTACTGGTCTTTTACTTGATCTTCTTTAGCGGTCTTTTTCACGAATATCATAG